AGTCTGGGGAACTCTTTTCTTGGCCTGGGGGCCAGGATCCAGCTTCCTGTCAGGTCCAGTGCGTTCAGAGGAGAAGGGAGCCCTGTTCCAGCCCGGTGGAGCTCTCTTCTTCGCCTGGGGACCAGGCCCGACCTCCTGTGGAGATCAGTGAGTAAGGAGGGGGTAGGGACTGACCTCTCTCCCTGACTTGGAACAACACTTGAAGCTCGAAAATATAGGAAAATGACAAAACAAAAGACCAAAATGCAGTCTCAAACATCCAGCCCATCCCAAGAAAACCTAGGAGCCATGTGCATAGAAGAAAATACATGCCACATAACTGAAATATCTGAAATAATAGTAACTGAAATAAAGAAGCAACTCTGGGAAGCCTTAAAGGAATTCAAACTAGAAATAATCTCTCAGGTAAATAAAGAAATGATAAAAGAAATGAAGGAGATGCTGAACAAATCTAAAGAAGACACAGTTAAAAAATTGGAGGAGATAAACAAAAAGATAAAATCCCTGGATGAACAGTATAAGAAACAAACAGAATATATAAAGCAGATGCAAAGAGATATACAGGAAATCAAAAACTCCATCGAAAGCTGTAAAATCCGCCTCAATGAATGTGAAGATAGAATTTCAGACCTCAAAGACAAGATTGCAACCAGTGAACAGGAAAGGAAAGATCTTTTAAAAATAACAAGAAATCAGGAAATAACAATTCAATACCTGCAAGATGATGCAAAGAGGAACAACATAAGGTTAAGAGGGATAAATGAAAAAGAAGGGAACAACATAAAGGATGTCAAGAGGATATTTAGAGAATAGCTGAAAATTTCCCAAACATGAGATTGGAAACTGATATCAACATCAATGAAGCATATAGAACTCCAAATAGCCATAACCAAAATAAAACTACACCCAGACACATAATAATGGCCATCCCAGAAATCGAACAAAAGAATAGAATATTAAAAGTGGTCAGAGAGAAAAGACAGATCACCTATAAAGGAAAACCTATCAGAATCACAGCAGCATTGAAGATATCACTCAGTCTGTACTTTCTTTTATTCTCTCCTTTTTTTTTTTTTTTTTTTTTTTTGGTCTTTAGTTTTGGTATCAGGGTGATGCTGACTCCACAGGATGTGTTTGAAATGGCTGCTTCTTTTTCTTTATACAACGGTCTGGGAAGCGTTGGTGTTGTCCTTTTGAAGTAGAATTTTTAAACCAGTAAATATGAGCTAGTTTTTTTGAATTTTATTAATACATGCTCGCAGTACATAATGATTACATTCATTATAAGGGATCAGTACCTATACATAATACATTTTAATTGACATGTCTCCCCATTCCCCATTTGTTTTTCTAGTATCAGATTTATTTATAAAGATAATCATCACATATAAAGATTCAAAATCACAATAGACCAAAGAACATACAAAACACATACGACCTTTGTACTAAGTAAAGGTACACTTTTAGATACATTGTTCACACTGAATTACAATACCATTTATTTTATTCCTAGTATTTATGTTTTATTTCATCCTTAAATATGTATAATTATATATAATTTCATATAAGGGAGATCATATATTTAAGCTTGTGTACCTGAATTATTTCACTTAAGATTATTGCCTTATGGTGTACTCATTTTTCTACAAATGACTCAAATTTATCCCTCTTTATGCCAGAGTAGTAATCCATTGTGTAAATACCACATTATCCATTCATCTATTGATGTATGCATAGGCTATTTCTGATCTTTAGCTATTATGAACTGTATTGCTATAAAAATGGGTATGCATTCATCACTGTGATATGATGTCATACTCTTTGGGAAATGCCTAGAAAGTGAATAGCTGGATCAAATGGAATTTCTACTTTTTGTTTTTTGAGTAATCTCCAATCTGTTTTCCATAATGGCTGTATCAGTTTACATTCCATTACCAGTGAAAAGGTATTCCTTTCTCCCAAAGCCTCACTAGCATTTATTATTTGTTGATATTTTTCATGAATGACAGTCCTTCTGGAGATGAAATGTTAGGTTTGCTCTAATTTGCATTTCTTGAATGGCCAGTGATTTTGAACATTTTTTCATATATTGAGTGGCTGCTATTTCTTTATCTGAGAAGTGTCCATCCATTTTAGATGCTCATTTTGGATTGAGTATTTAAGTTTATGGGATTTATTTTTTTGACTTCCTTATATTTTCTAGATGTTAGTCTTTTGGGATGTAGCTGACAGTTTTGTTCTCCCATTCTGTAGGTTGTCTCTGTTGGTAGTTATCTTTACAATAATTTAAAAATTCTTTGATACATTGTCAACTTCTATATCATTAAAGTCAGTTTGTGTGAAGTATTAATTTTTGGATGATCCATGTTCACTTGTTTTTTCATATTTCTTAAGTTCTTATGTGGAGATGTGCACATCTGATGAGATGGAATTCTCTTACTCTGTTATGTGAGGGCTCTCTTAGAAGGGCGGGCTTCTCTTGGTGATGTTCCCTGGTGTACTGATCTGTTGTGTAAAGCTGACTTTACCTCTAAGTGAATTGCTCTGCATGTTTCTCCCAAGGCTTCTTCGTGCATAATTAGGGATTGACACAGTGCATTCTGCAATAGCCTGAGTGCTCCATTTCTCTGTATATCTTTATAGAGTAGGCTATTACTGGTAGCTAACTCATATGTAGTTAAAACAATAAAGTGTGTGTGGGCCCTCTGTCTATAGTTTTCCAATTTTGTCATCACAGTGTGGTTTGAAAAGTTATAGACAACTTCTGTTAAGGTAATTTGCAGATAGGGTATCTATCTACAAAGGTTTTTCTCTTCTTCTTCTTCTCCTCTTCCTCCTCCTCCCCCTCCTCCTCCTCTTTCTTCTTCTTGCTGGTATTATATGGAAAAAACTCCAGAAGGAAAACTTAAAACCTTCTGTATGCATTCCTACTTTGGGGCACTGTTGTTTGGCTAGGGGATTTCATTTCTCCTATTATTTAGTTTCTTGTAACCAACAAGATTGAGCGGGACTACAGTGTGGCTGGACTAAGGTGAACTCTCTCTCAGCTCTGTTGAGAGTGTGGCTCAGACACACAGCACTCTGTTACCACGTTTCTGGCACCTGAGTGGATCCCCAGCACTTAATGCTTGCAGACTGTTTTCCTTGGCCCCAGGCAAGGAGTCAGAGTTGTAGGTATCAATTTCTCTATGTTCTCTGCATCACTTTTCCAAATCTCTATGCTATTTAGACTTCCTTTTACTTCTCCATTACTTCTCAAAACACTTCCTCAGTTTCTTGTTTGGCTTTGATCACAGGATCACATAAACTTTTCCCGTTATCCCATCTGTCCACTCCCCCCCCATTCCCTGTGGATTTCTTTTAGTGTGGGAATAATGCTCAGTTGTCTGGATGTACCAGTTTATCCATTTGCCTACTGAGGGACATCACTGCTCATTCAAATTTTTAGACGATTTTGACATAAGCATCTCCAGGCAGGTTTTATCTGGATGTGTTTTCATCTCATTTGATAAATAGGACTATGATTGTTGGACCACGTGGCACAAATGTACGAACCTATGCTTAAGTGGTCAGACCACTTTCCATTTTCACCTGACTTAGTCACTTTTCTTGTTGCTGGGACAAATTACCCTGACACCCAAAGTTAAAGGATGGAAGGTTACATCATCTCACAGTTAGTTAAGGTTTCCGTGCGTAGCCACTTGTCTCAGAGGCAGGCAGCACAGCAGAGGAGGATCACAGATGAGCAGCAGTTTATGGTGTGGCAGGCAGAAGGAAGAAAGCAGAAGCAGCGGCAGCAGTCAGACTACCAAGCTACCTGCGTTCCCTCTTACCCCTTAAGCACAGCAGTCTTCAGGTTGCCATCAGAACTATACTAACGCCAGTCAGTGGACTATCTAAACATCACACACCCTAATCCCAGTATCACATGCCATAGACCCCGTAACCTGCAGAAATTCCCACTTTTGAGTGCATGAGGCTTTGAGGGACTACCTAGGTCAAAGACAAAACATCAGCAGAAATAAACAAGAATTTCTATTGTTCCGTATTTCCACTGGAATTTGATTTTGTCGGTGCTTTGGATTTTTGCCATTTTAGTAGGGTCAGAGCGCTAGCTCCTTGTTGTTTTAACTTGCGATTCCTTAAGCCTGTCTGTCATGTTAATAATCGTGTCTTCCTTGATGCAGCAAGAGTGGGTCAGGGTTCTATGGCATCTGGGGATTGATGAAGAGCACAGAATTAAGGAAGGCTGTAGTGCCAACTCACTCTGTGGTAATTACCTTGCATGTTCAACTGAGATTCTCATATAAATCACTCTTTTTAGTCAAGTTTGGGGAAGACCTATCAAAATGCCCACAAAGGTAATTAAAATGTTAATCTGCATGTGTAGATTAAGAAACCATCTTTTGTGAGTATCCATATAATGGCTTTCAAACACGTTTGGAGTAGTGGAACATTTTTCTCAAGGCGAAAGCTCACTCAGAAGTGCATTACACATGCAGGGAAAGTGGCCCATGTCTGGCTGAATGAGTGGGGCTTGAAATGAGTTCCTTGCCCAACAGGCACCTCTCGTGCTTTCTGTTCCTCAAGGTGGTACACAAAAACACACCTGTGACACCCAGAGCTCCACAGAGCAGATCATAAGTCACAGGTTAATCCCTTCATTCTAGAATCAGAAACCTAGAGAGCTGATGTGATTTCCCCATAGTCCTAACGTTACTGGCAGCAACAAGGCTAAATTCCAGCTCCATGAACTCTAGTACAGTAGCTTTCACCTGTATTCACCTACAGACCTGAATACTAAAAGCTGTAGAATCAGTTTAGGGAATAGCAGTGAGGGTTCCCAACTGGGAAAGAAAAGGCAGGGGATCTGGAAACAGAGACCTTGCTTAGAATTTTGCTTCTCCTCCATCAGTGTGGACCTTTGTTTTCATTTGGAAGCCATTTTCAGCCTATATGTTGTAATAGACATAAAGAAAAAAGACTGCTTCCTCCATGTATTTATTTAACAACTATTTTATTGCTCTGAATTCTGAAGCATTAGAAAAAAGTTGTATCCAGAGTTGTCATAGATTCCCTTGGTGAAGAGCTACATGGCTCTGTCTGGATATATAAGACTTTTTATGCGTATACTCAGTCTCACGTCTTCAGTGAAATTTTAGTTTAAATATATCTTATCTGGCACAACTGCTAGTTTTATATCCATATCCACCAGAGCTCAGACAATCTTCTCAGTGCAGAAGGGAGTTATAGGAATGCACCACCTGGCATCCTAGCACATGCTCAATAGATCCTTTTAGTTAACAAATGATCTTCAGATATGAGGTATCTAGCAAATATAGTTTAAGAATATATTAACTTGATTTTCAATAACATATTCAGGTAGGTGGACACCATTTGAGCCATATGCAATTGTTATATCCCAGGCATCAACAATATTCACATTAAGATCCTGGAAAATGTCCTTAGTAACAAGATACTGAATGTAGCCATGAAAGTCACTAAATCTTTCCACATCACCATTCAGCTCCCTGGTGTTTTCCATCTTGATGATAACCATAGTGTCTGGGCTTCTCAGAAGAAGATGCTCAACAGCTTTGTGGATATTGAGGGCTCTTCGGATGAAGACATCTAGGGGAAAGGGTCTAAAATGCTGACCCAGAGAAATTACAATCACGGTATTTTTATCTCCTCCAATTCTGTCAATGGCCCGGGCAATGTACTGAACCTCTCTGACTGGATAGACCAGTGAGCCAATCAAGGGGAAAGCATGTTTTTGCCACTGGATGTTAATATGTGTATCCAAGTTCACGGCGAGTTGGTTTTGCAGTTTCCCATATTGATGCAGATCTACTAACCTCAGTGCTGATGACAAATCTGCAATCCCCCAAAAAAGAGAATAATGTTACAAAGATTGACCAGTCTTAAAGGTAGGAGAGAAGATATTTTTTTAGAATTAAATAGACTAATCATGTTTGGCTTATTATAGACTTAACTAATGGGATAATTTTGAAAATTACTCAAAAAATTAACAGTATAAAATATACAAATGTAAGAGATTTATGTGTGTCTTCTTACAGACCACCTAGGACTGGGAATGTTAGAACACTTAAATAACTTCACTGGAGAATGATGTGGTCAGTTTTGTAAGTATTTTTATAGGCTGTGTTAACTATAAACTAAGCTCATTTGGTAATACTTCCACTTGATTCTATATATATTAAATAAAAAATAGAGTTAGAGGAATAGCTCAATGATAGAGCACTTGTCTGATGTGTGAGGTCCTGGTCTTAACTACTCATATCCCATACAATGAGTGAATGACTTAATGAATAAATAAAATAACATTAAAAAGTGAGTCTAATTCTTTAACTCCTCTGAAATTATCTATTCTTCTCTGTTTTCTTCCACATCTATGGAACGATACTATGTATATTTTATGTTAGTATGTTACAACTCATTTGGCAACTATATTACAGTTTATAAACCATTTGTTTGAGCTGATAATTCACTTTGATGTTCCTTTTGTGTTTTTCAAATTGCGGTTATAGAAAAAGTAAGAGAAAATCACCTGTTCAAGATTACAGTTTGCAATAAATCACTTAAGATTGACATTACTCCAAATGATTGTAAACATGGTCTACCTGATCTTGACACTTCTGAAAATAATCTCATATGAACAGAAAAAAAATGAAATCCTTCCATTTTTCATCATTTTAATTTCATCCTATCATATGATCAAGGCCATATGTTTTCTAGCTAGAACTTCTGAGGAAAATGTATAGACAATGATTATTCCTACTTTATAACATGCATCATCTTAAAAATGAAGGGCTAACTTTGAAGTCTTATGCCATAAGGTTGAAAAACAGAGCTGTTGGAGAAATGGAGGAAAATAGAATTATTTTCCTCTGTTTTCAATTTAGTTTTCTTCTCCAAAGCACACTCTGATCACTGAATTTAACTTTACAACAAAACGCCTCAAATACATTTTCCTACCAGAATTTATGAGATAAACTGAAGAGGATTGAGCACAGTAACTCAGCACTAAGAGACTCCCCATTATGGAATGTGACCCTCAAGGGTATCCGTAGACCATGCATTTCATAGATGAGAAAACTGAACTCAAAAGCGCTGAATGGCCTTTTACAGGTCACCACTGAAAACCCTCCCCTGTTGAGAATTCTCCTTGCAACTAACTTGTAGTCCAGGCACTACTGATTTTCCAATTTTTAATGAGAGGACCAGCTTTCTTTCTGAGTCAAAGATTTCAAGAGCGACCTGCTATAGAAAGGCCAAGATGGAGTCACTGCCTCTACATGATTCTTAGTCATAAAATCTGGGGCTCAGGGGGCTGGGGATTTAGCTCAGCGGCATAAGCACCTGCCTTGCAAGCAGGTAGTCATGAGTTCGATCCCCGGTACTGATGAAAAAGAAAAAGACAAAAAAAAAAATCTGGGGGGCTCAGGAACATAGAATGTGTTACATTTGTGTCTAGATGTCCCCCCAAAGTCTGATGTGGTCATGGGGGTGGCCTTTCAAAGGCAGCTGAGTCTAGCAGTTGTAATTCACTTGTTATCTAGCACTGGGATTGGCGGTGAGTGCTGCACCAGCACAGGGGCTGGTAGCCAGCATTACAATATAAGGAAGGAAAGGAGGTGTATCTTTCTCCTTTTCCTATTTTGTCTTTTTGGCTCTTGTAGCTTACAGCCACCATGAATGCCTGCCCTTTGGAACCAGCTGAGTATGGCTGAAACCTCCCCAAACTGTAAGCTAAATAAACCTTTCCTTCCTTCATTTTGAAGCTCTGTATTTTGTTCCAGGAACAAGAGAAAAGTAACCAAGTCAGGGGGATAGGCAGTGATGGTTTTCTATGTAGGACTGCCAATATGTATTAACTGTTCTGAGTTATTACTGTTGCTCTTGGGTTTAGTAAACAGGACTTGTTTGACTAGGAGTCTCATAGCTGGATTCTAGACCTCTCACACTAATGAGAAATGTTGCTGTTGATTTTTGGGCATCTTCTCTGTATCATGGTGCCTCACTATGTGCTAAATGCTTTATGTCCATTACCTCATTTCATCTTTAAAATCAACAGCCTATATACAGTTACTGTTTCCAGTTGATGAACAAGAAAATTGGTGTAGAAAAAAATACGATGTCCAAGGTCATTGTTTCTAAGTAGAGTCCCAGTCCCACAGATGAGGTCTGTTAGACTCTAACTCCTACACTATTGGCCAGCATGCCTGTCAGATGTAGTCTGTCCTATTATCAGGTGATTGATAACAGTGAGGATAGCTTGTACCAAGGAGAACTTACCTTGTAATAGACAGTATTCTACACCATATATGCCACTGTGTTTTACTAGGTGGGTTCTCTTTTATAACCAGTTGAGAGAGGAGGAAATCAAGGGACAAAATGGATTTGTAACCTGTCCAAATTTTCCAAGATAGAATGCAAAATCAAAATTTGAACCCAGGCCATCTGAATCTAAAATTTACACACTTAATCCGTGTGCCAACTGTAGAAGAGAAGAAATTCAATGTCTTACATCATCTTTAGCTCTATTGATAATTTTCTAAGACTGTTGTGCAAATAGTGAACTGTGAATTCTGCAGCATAGAGAAGTAATGTTTTTCTACACTGGCTCCCTTCCAGTCAGTTAAACGTATTCTTTTAAAGCAAGACAGTGTCTTATAAATATTTTTGGTGTTTCATGATTAACTAATATGACAAATATGAAATGAAAAAGAAGTTTCTGAAAAGGAATCTGTGCGTGTGTGTGTGTGTGTGTGTGTGTGTGTGTAATAGCTTAGGGTGAGGCATACTCTGCATCTTGATTCTGAAGTACTCTATCCACTGGCGGACTGTGGAATCTCCCAATAGATATACGAGTTTTCCTTCCAGACAAGTTTTGATGTTGATTGGAGCCAGAATGCACGACACAGGATTCCATTTTTGTTTCCACACATATCCACTGGGGACTGTGGATATCATCCCAGGCTTGCATCTATCTTCCACTGGGATTGTTCCTGTTGCCAAAAAAATCAGCAAGGATATTTTAAAACATCAAATTAGCCATGAGAATTGATTAAGCATCCTCTTAATAGGGGGTGGAAGTGGTGATGGTGGAGGAAAAGCTACATTGAAGCATGTTTACAATAGAACAGCCAGTTTTCAGTAACACTTTTCTGTGACGTTCGTTTTCTAGCTGATAACCATAAATGGTTACTAGAAGAGTACATGTTTTTCCCAGGAAAAAATGGCTCTCCTGTAGAATTTAAGTATCTTTCAGCACTGCTTTCAAAGCAACACCATCAGTTCTTGCAAAGTAAACAAAAGGTCGTTCATCGTATCATTTTAGTCCACTTTAACCCCTGAGTTTGTCAGACACTATCACAGTGTCTTAAGTGCCACCATCAAATGATACTCACTTTTTACTAAAATGCAGAATGATAAAAATATATATTTCTTGGAAACTGCCCAATATGAATGCTTATGTGTGCAGGTCTGGAGGACCACAAAGGGCCAGGTATTAAATCCTCAGTCACTGGTTTGTGAATAGCTGAGATGGCTAAAATGGTGAGGTGACAGCTTTGGGGCAGCGATCGTTCCTCATCCACAGAAAGTAGGTTAGAATTTATCAACTGAGATGAGTTTCCCTATATAACTGGGGTGACAATACTGTTTCTACATTTAAGTGCATATACTTTAACATAGACAAGTATATTACCAATTAATAAGATTTTAATGCTGAACTGATGTAAATATAAAAGATGCTTCTTTAAACCATTTTAGATGGAACTTCCCTGGGTTGTTTAGAGTCAAATAATTTAAAAAATAGTTAATACAAATGTGGAATTGGACATTAAAGCTGAAAACTGACAGTCATAAGGTGAGAATCAACTTCTACACATCAGGTTTGATCCCTCTAGATGCTGATGCTTGGGCTGGAAAGGGAGGAGGAGGTAGCCATAGTGGTAGCATGTGGAAATAAAGAACTAGGTAAAGAACTGAGAGAAAGAGTTTTAATGTGCATAGGTTACTGTATAAGGTGGGCAGGCAATCAGTTCCTGCCAAGTAGATTGCTGATGAGAGAGACAGTTACTCCCATAGGCTACTCAAGTACATTTTAATGATTCTAATCATTCACCTTCTTAGGTACCTTAGACAGCACAGATGAGTACTAATAGGCCCAAAGGTGAAAACCCCAGGAAGAAGAGGAAGGCCTTTGGCTGGGTCTGGTCCTAAGCACCTAGCAAATTCAGAACACTTACTGTTGCATTTTGTCACACGGATCACATTGGAGTGTTTCATAATCTCCACAGCCATATTTGACCTTAGAGAGACAAAATAGAAATGAATCTGAAGGTGGCCCTAAATAAGGAAATAAGAAGCCAGATTATGCAATACTTCCATTATTTCTTGTTAAGTTGGTTACTGTGCCCACACGTTCACATCATTTAGTAAATTTCCATCTTTTGACCTATTATTTCCTAGGATATAGTTACTCAAATGCTGTGCAAGATGATGTATTGTGATGCACAGATCATATGCTAGAGCATACACACATATGCAGAGTCTGCCAAAAAATATACATACACATTTCTTCTAATAAATGTCTGGAGGTCACCACTTTGAGCACCTCTTATAGAGGCCAGAAGTAACTCTGATAATCTCATGATATCTCAATAAATTTAGTATTACAATGTTACACAATTTTTTGTCTTCCTGATATAGATTTTGGGGGGTATTCTCTATTTTTATTCTTTAATAAATATACTTGAAATATAAATGAAATAAATGAAACTTTTGTTTTAGTTTTCATTCTACCTGTACTTTTATTTCATTTATGAGAATTAAATATCCAAAACATTTCTAGAGACTGAGCCCTGTCTCCAAATGAATTTGTAGTTCCTTTCCCAAATGAATTTTCTTGCAGAGTATCAAAGGTGACATATTTACAGGACTTTTCTTTAGATTGCCATATCAGATAAACACCATAATTGCTCAGATAGTCACCAGCAATAATTATTTACCTTTCAAAGAGGTTCATTTCTTGATGGCTAAGATAGGAAACTTGCTTGTTCTTAGAATACATGTGAGTAAGTGCAGCACAGGACACATGAGAAGGTTTCACACAGTAGAAGGCTTCTTGGTCTTCAGCATTCAGGTATCTGCACAGTTCAGCACTTGAGTTCAAAAACAGCCCACAATCAGTATCAACCCGGGAGCTGCCACTGACAAACTGGCCTTTGAAGACCACTCTGTCGTAGCCTTGGTTCCGGGCCCTCCAGAGAGCCGAAGCCCCTTCACTGGGGTGCATGAGCAGCACAGACAGGGAGACCTCGCCCTCCCAGAACAGAGTGAAGCTGACGAGGTAGGTGCCATTGTTGAAGTCTGTCACCTTCCCCGATGCACCTGCCTCCAGGTCTGGGGAGGACATCCTGGCCCTGAGGAAGTCCCCACCATATTCCTTCCTGCGTCCCAAGTGGTCCTTCATCTGTAGCAGGACATCCAGCTGGTCGCCCCTGCAGTACGTGATTTGAGGGTTGAGGATGGAAGCTGTGCTCTGCTTGGCACTGCTTGTGGTGTATATGTGGGTGAAGGGCCTCGGTGGGATCAGCTGATCCATCTTCTTCAGTATTTTCCTGATCTTCAGGTCAGTCTCTGCTGCAGAAACTACTGAACATGGTGATGCTTCACTATCCACGGCCTTCCTAAAGGAATTCCAGTGAGGGAGGGAGTCATGCCACGTGAGTGTAACCCACTTCTGAAATGATAAGAAATAGAGTAAAGAACAATAAAATGTTCCTACTTAGTATAATAATTTTGTTTAGTTAGCCAAACTTTGCCATATCAGTGATAGTTACATAAATTAAATGGCACTGAGATATTATGATTATAAATGTTTCATATGCAAGATACTTGTGTTTATAAATAATGTTAGTCCAGTATTCATTGGCTAATGTATTTCAGAAGACCTGATTAACCACAAAGAACCCTAGGATCATCTTCTACAAATTGTCAGTAAAATCTACCTTAATGACAGCTGTGAAGACAAAATTAGGAAGTCATTTTAACTGCATAGTAGAAAATTATTCTTTTACTTTTATCTTACAACTAGAATTTAATCAAGAGTGTTCAATCTGAGACAAAAATCTGAGCTGTTCAGAAATACTAAAGATTATTTTTAAACTGAAAATACAAGACACTAATTAGTAACAAAAAACATAGGAAGCATAAACTCACTGGTAAATCTAAATGCACAGTCAAAATTACAATACTCTAATACAGTAGTGGTGGCATATAAATGACTTGCATTTTTGGACGAAGGCCTGCAGAGAGTTGATGATGCCCCTCCACTGGCATGCCTGAGAAGGACAGACGGGGAGACCTGGCCCTCCCAGAACAGAGTAAATTTGCTAAAAATAACAGCTACAATAATTTGTTAACTGTTAAACTATAGAACATAAAAAATGTAACACCACAAATTTAAAATATAGCATCTGGATGGAGTAAAAATATAAAATTTATATGTGATCAAACTTGAGTTATTACCAGCTTACAATAGGGTTTTATAACTGTAAGATTCCTTTATATGACTTATGGTAATCATAAGAAAACATCCATAGCGAAAAAAAAAAAAGAAAACAGACATTGTGGATACCTAAAAGATAAAAACAAAGAATCAAAGCATACACACAGAGAAAATCATTTGTTCAGAAAAGGAAAAAGAACAAGAAATCAAGCAAAGAAAGAAAGAATAAATAATCTACAAAACAACTGGTATACAATTAATAAAAGGGCAGAAGTAAAACTTTTCCTGTCAATAAGTGCCTCAAATATAATAAATTCACCAATGAATTGTGCAGTTAAACTGAAGAAAAAAAATATAGCAAGACCCAACTATATGCTGCCTACAAGAGGCACTTTTCCTGTAAGAACACACACACACATTACATGGGAAGAATGGGAAAATATATCACATGATATACTTCACATAAGTATAAACACAAATGGAAGAGAACATGAATTGCTATGTTTATATCAGATAAAATGAACTTTAAGTCAAAAACTGTATAACAAGAAAAAGGTTATTTAAAAATAGAGGGATCAATTCTTCATCAAGAGGAAAATATATGTACCTCCAATACTGAAGAATCTCAATGCATAAAGCAAATATTAATGGATCTGGAAGGAGGAATTGGTTGCAACTCAGTAATGGCAAGCTTCAGTATTTCATTTTCAGAAATGGCCTGATCATGCAAATAGGAAATCAATAAAGAAACACCATAATTAAACTACACTTTATCTAGACTGGGGATGTGGCTCAAGGGGCACAGTACTTGCCTAATGTTCTCAAGGCCTTGGTTCCATCCCCAACATTGAAAAATACAAAACAAGAAAGAAGCCAAAAAAAAAAAAAAAAAAAAAAAAAAACACCCACAAAAATACACCAAATCTACTCCTGAGACCAAATGGACTTATGTAACAAACACATACATAGAATATTCTTCCATAGTTCTCCATCATAGACCACAAACAAGTCTTAACAAATGAAGATTAAAGTCATATGAAGTCTCTTTTCCAACCACAATGTTATAAAACTACAAGTCAATAATTAGAACAATTCCAGAAGCTTTACAAAGACATGCAAATTAAATAACATGCTCCTGAACAACCAATAGGACAAAAGAGGAAATTGTAAAAACATATTGAAGCTCTGTGTCGTGGTTCTATTATCCTATTTCTCGTAGGCTGAGAAGGGAGGATTGCAAGTTCAAGGCCAGCCTGGCCAATATGAAAAGACCTTGCCAACAAATGAAAAAGACAAATCAGAGACAGAGACAAACAGAGTCTGAAAGAGAAACAGAGACAAAGATAAGACATAGAGAGGGAAATGGAAACGGATACATGATGGGCTAGGGGAAGAACCAAGAAGCCACGAGGGCCAGGAAGCGCCTCCTGTCAGCCAGCAACCATGTGGGCCCAGAGGAGAACAAAGAAGCAAACCCCTTCCTGTGAGCCAGCCAGTACAAGGGCTGGGAGACAGTAAGAGCTGATCCCTCGTCCACTGTAAGCAACTGGCTGATTGGAGGGACAGGGTGTGGGATGATAGCCACTGAGGTGAAAGTGGAACTTAATGCTTGTGTTATGTCATTGACTTTGCAAGCCTAAAGCCGTAGTGTGGTACCGATTTAAAAAAACAAGTTAACAAATTAATTGAAGTTATAGTAGGATATATAAACCATATAAAAAATCAGTAGCATTTTTAAAAACTAATGACAAACGATATGCAAGAAAAGCCAAGGAAACAATCTCATGTACAAAAGCTACCAAAAAATTCAAAGTTAGGAATAAATTTAACCAAGGTGATAAAGACTTGTATGCTGAATACTTATTACAAAACAAGGATGAAGAAAATGGAGTAAGACACAAATAAGTGGAATGATACTCCATGTTCATGGACTCAAAGAACTAATATTAAATGGTCTGCGCTACCCAAAGCAATCTGCAGATTCAGTGTAATTCCTATCAAAACACCAATGACATTTTCATAGAAATAAAAACAAATTTACAAAAGATCCTGAAAAGCCACAGCAATCTGAAACAAAAAGAACCAAGCTGGAGGTCATGCTACTTGACTTCAAAACATATTACAAAATTGCCTAGTACCGACATAAAACAGACACAAATGGAATGGAGAGCCAAACCTTTTGGGCAAATCTAGAGAGCCATAATCTTTTATTATGGTCCCTTGAGTTATGCTAAAACACATGACGGAAAAGGAGAATCTATTTAATAAGGAGCAATGGGACAATTGTATATCTACATGCAGAAGAATGTAACTGAAACCTTAAATCAAATGTTGTACAAACCCAGAATGAATTAATTAAACGTAAGACCTGAAAATACTAAATGAAACACAGGAGAAAAGCTGCATGGCATTGTTTTGGCTAATGATTTGAAGAGGTAATCACAGAAATTTGGTCACAGTCTAACTAAGTTACATTAGAAGAATACTTTCAGGAAATACATTTTCTAACCTAGTGTCTAGAGTTAATAATGTGTGGTATTCTTGAAAACATTGCTTACAGAGTAGATTTGAAATTTTTTTAGGTGAAAAAAAGACAAACCAAAAGGAGAGGAGATAGTGTATATAATAATCAGCTTACTTTAGTAATACATATTTTAAAATACATTGCATTAAATACAATACAATTTTCATGCCAATTAAAATAAGTTTTAAACTAATAAAATCACTTTGGTAATGCATGGGGGCTTTTATGTAATGTACAATTATCTATTTTTATTATATCTTTTATAATGTGCTTAAATATTGTTATTTTTTAGTATTTTCTCAGACTTTTACTAATATAAGAGACACAGAGATGTAGGTTTACAAAATTTTTATTTTCTAATTATAAAATAACATTGGTTTATTATTATTATTAATACTTATTTAATATTAAAAGATAATTTCCTATGTGCAAGCACGTAGGAAATAAAATTAGTCATAATCGTGTCAACAAATTTGCCTCAAACTCAGGGTGACCATCCTCTCAAATTGTGGGGACCACAGATCTACACCCACACACTGGGTTTAACAGTCATATTCTTTTCAAAAATACAACTCTTTAAAAGCAGTGGAGAGTAAACACAAGCAGATCTGGGTGGAGAAGGATCAGTGCTTGACAGAAAGACCAGATTAAGACTTGTACTGTAAGAAGCGCTAAATGAAATTCTTTAGGCTGAAGGGAAATTACACCAGATGGAAGCCAGACTTTCAGGAAGGCACAGGGCAGTGGGAAATACATAAACAAATACAAAAGATAAAATATTTCTCTTGAGTACTTTAAAGCACATATAATTAAAGATTGTAAATTTGTAATAATATGACAAACATAACGGACAATAGGGTGAGGTATACATAGAACTAAATAAAGTAATATATGTTGAAAATTATTATATATTAAATGAATGAATGCATTATACATTTTAATAGTTCTAAAAACTAAGACTACATGACATAATGCAAGAGAAAATGCTAAAAACTATATACAAACTAAAAGAAAATACTAAAAATAAAAAAATTTCAGTTAACGCAAAATGAGGTATCTTTATAAAAAAATTAAATACCAACAGCAGCATTTTAAAATTTTAGTATTTAGACAAGTCTGATGCCAGAGAAATGATTTGCTTCAAAGTGCACTAAATATTTTTTGAAAAACTGATAAAGTTTACTACATAAAAGTACTTATTTTTCAGAAAGACCCTTAATAAATGTTTAAGAATTAACTGCTAAAACTGTTATATAGGACACGGTTTGAACTTTCCAAGAATAGGGGAAGTGTAAGGAGAAATTAAGCCTTGTAAAATGGAAAAAATCAGCAATTCCTACCTTTGCGGGGTTGTAGAAAGCCTTAAAACCGATCCAGAAGGCTAATATAAGGAACAGTACCAATACGGATTTACGATTTATCACAATTGTTCTCATAATTCAGGCCCTACAAGAGGCAAAACAAAAATGCACACTCTTAAAGCAAAACAAAACCAAGAAAAACTCGGAAAGACATCATATTTTCTACCTCTGATTGTTTTTATCCTCCATAAGTTACTCCCAGGAATTAGCCTGGGCCCTCTGGGCTGCCCCTGACGCTCCCCAGCTGCTGTGGTTGGATACTGACTTTACATTCCACAGCAGATAAACTCCCGGAGCTCACCGTGGACTCCACTAACCCAGAACAGGAAGCAGGCAGGGTTGCTCACGTGTTGTTAATGTCATCTGGTATTCCCACTTTTTCTCTCCTTTAAGGCAAAAAGCAAAGATAACATTTTAGCAAATACTGATGCTGAGAAACATATTATTACTATGCCCTACTAGCATAACTGATCTTACAGTTTCCTTAATCCCTGTATGTAAATGTTTCACTGTCTTATATTACTAACCTTTCTAGTACTTTTAAGCCTTAAAAAAATATTTTAAAATTCTCTTATCAATTTATTTTAAATAATTTTCAGGTTTTCTCAATGTTTTGTCTTTAGCTAATATTAATATTTATCTTTCAATTGGAATTTCAAGTTGTCTTTTCAAATTGGTTGGTCTAAGGATGCAGCTCAGTGGGTACAGCACCTGTCTAACTTGTGTAAGTCTCTTGGTTCAATCACTGGATCACAAAATAACATAAAATAAGATAAAGTAATGTAAGATTGAGTGAATGCTGCCCTTTAAAAATTTTCCATCTCTTGAAATTTATTTCCTCTAGAAGCACCCTCTGCCCCACACCCCCATTTTATATGCAGACATTAGAGAGCAGCACTCCAGAACAAATCTTACCACCTGCCCTTATCCATTGCATTCTGCAAATATTTTCATGCCTTCTCTGTAAACTCTTGGTTCAGCTCCATACCTAGGAACTGCAGTGAGCTGGATGCCAAGGTTTTCTTCGGAAGTCATTTATGTGCTCAGGGGGTGATTTTATCTATGTCAAAACAAACCACAGCCATAAAGTGAAATCTCCATAGCTTGGGTTTGCAGCCTTCTGCATGTTTCAGCTCAGAAGTGTAGGTATGCCAGCTCTACCTTAAGGAAAGACCTGAATCACAAACTGTAATAATGAAGTCCAGCAGCCTGACAAAGAGGAATGAAACAATTTGACATCGTGGACAAAATGATTCGTGTCATGCCTTAGGGAGCCCAGTTTTAGTAAGCATATGATAAATACCTGATAAGAAAAAAAGTGAATAAAACCAAAAATTGAATGTCATCAAAAGCCCAATGTGAGGATTCAAGCAACATGTTATTTCATATATAATACACAACATTTGCAAGGTTGAACCAAAGCACCTCAAATACAATGAAGGCCAGAAAATAATACAGACTACCTCTCAGATGGCTTACATTCACAGGTTATGTCCATCAGGGTTTATGTTCTTGGTCTGAGGGAAACAGTGCCAGAAAAAGCAGGTGTCCACAGGAAAGAGCAGCGGACTGATTCTTTCCTTGGTTTATGGTCTCATTTACACTGTCCCACATACATGCTCATCAGTCCTTCCTGTCTTTCTTTGTAATCCTTCCCACATCATTTACCATGCCATACCAAACCAGCCCACGACAATACGATAGATACTTCATTATGACTTTATATAATGACCATAAGAAGCCTGGATCTAGGACTCTCCGTGCTGCCCTAAGGAACCTGTAATAGGAGGAAATACTTGCAGCGGGTTTGGTTTGGCTGCTCCTTAGGAAACTGTCAGCAGCCAAACAAGTTCACATCCTACTCTGAGACGCAGAGATTTATGAATTTTACTTTACTTCAGGGATACAGATACTGGTATGCAATGTAAATCTGGAAATTTTTTGTAAGGAATGTGTAATAGTTGTGCTTGACAGAAAGAACTAAAAGTGTAGTACAGACTTTCAATACTTTGCCCAGATCATCTTGTGAGATATAAAATAGGTCCAAGTACAGGATTCCAGTCACCTGACCTCTCATTCAGAGTACTTTCCACTACTCACCATCATTCCAACATCTGTGATATAACCACATACCGGTGGGTCCTGTGGTTCGTGCATTTATTTTCCATTATAGTTAGTAAAAAGGGGTCCTTTTCCTTTTGACCATATTTTTCTTCAAATGGTACCAAAAGTTATTGTGAAGATAAATGGTCCTCTGTAGTGTGCCATCCTTGCAGTTAACGTGTTTCATCATCAGCTTCGGTAGTGTGGTTTCCTTTCCCTTAAATTAGTCTCAATAATAAGGGAGTCCACACGTGGGAGCTTAGTCACAGACAGGACCACAAAGCTCCGAGTTCACGTAATTAAATAAAATCCAGGCCGTCAACAGTTCTTTGATAGAATAAATAGAGTAAGAGCAGCGCTGCCCAGATTCTAAAAGAGCACAAGCAAGATGAACAGAGCTCACTGGGCAAATCAAAGAGCAGGTGTTCAGAGAACAAGCACTGCAGTCTAAGACATAGTTAGGAAGATGGTTCCTGTGGTTTCAGGAAGCAAACAGGGTGTACTGTGTTAGCAAAGCCACCCCGCATTTCCATGGAAAGGGAAAATGGGGCACAGGATGCTGAAACCACCAGCTAAAACTCATTGCTAAATCCATGGTCACTAAATGGGGGAGGCAGACCTTGAACCGAGATCTCCAGAACTGCGTTTTTAGCTCCTGTTAGGTTTTGCCAGAAACCATGAGGCAGCAAAATCACGGGAGGGAGAGTAGAGATTAGATGTTAACAGCAGAAATAGATGAGGCAGGGACGGAGAGTGTCGTGTGCCTAAAACAGTGGAACCCCACAGTACCCTGGGTGTGCACAGAGGACATCCCAGCTCTCACTAGAGCCCCAGCGCTGCTTACATACTCTCTGCTCGGTTCCTCAGCAACACTTGAGGTCTGGGTGAGACCTTGAGCGTGCTGCGGACGGGAGAAGAAGCATTTTATCTTCCTCCCCGATTCACAGACAGAACACTAACCTGCAAAAATGATCACAATTATGCATTCCAACTACATGTATTGTAAACACAATTCATTATTTTAGTTTACTGACTACATAAAAGAAAATATTTCCATAGCGATGAAAAACGAGACAGGAATACTGCTAGGAGCATATTCAAACCCACTGGACTTTAAAACTTTAATAACATTAACAGCACAGATCTGATGTTTTCTATTATTCTGCAAAGGTACATTCCTTACAAATAGGTCAAGAAATATGCTTTTTTCACTGTGATGTGATTGGTCCCTTAACCTTAAAGAATGTGCACCTTGAAATGAGAACATGGACACCTGGCCATCTGGTCAACTTCCAACCAAATTTTGTATAACTGGTTTGCCTAACAGATTTTTATCCCCGAGACTGAAGGAGGAGGAACTTATTTTTAGAATTCCCAAGCAGTCTTGCCCTTCAGGATTGACTGGACTGCCTCCAACACAAAGGTCCTTCCAGTCATGTGACTGTGAAGCAAGTGTAGGCTCCTCATTCCTGCAGAAAGATGAGTTAAGTGGAGTAACTCAAATGCAGAACTTAGGGCTTAGGGTGGAAAGTGCTCCACTTCATATTGTAAGTGGGCCCATAGTTAAGGTGCATCATTGCTCCACAGAGCATATCACTGCTCCAAAGGTAACCTTGTCTGGTTCTCAGTTTGGACCTGAATTGTTCCATATGTGTAAATTCCTGCTTGTTCTTTAAAAGTTTTTTTTTTTTTGTTCTAATTCAGACAGCTGCTCAGGGTCAATTGGGAATGGAGATCCTGGTCAGCAGAAAACAGAAATGCAGCTCAATTTTCCAGCCACCTCTGACTCACGGATTAGGTTTATCTAACAGAGACTGAATTGCACTATAGATGCTTGTGATTTTGTATAGTTTGTGACTGAATAAATCAAATTTTACTAATGTACTGGTCATGCATTCTTGTGCAACCAACACAATAATTAGGAAACGAAGTAAGTCAGGTACCTGTCTATAGAGTCTGAGGTAAAATTTTCCACTCTCATTCATCCTAGAAAGAGTTCTATCCTTTTGAAGGGTAAACATGATAGTGGCCCCACACACACACACAAGAACTAATTCTACAAGTAAATGCTGTAACCAACATTGAAAATGGGAGAAGACCCTAACTGAGATATAGCACTAAGTGAAGACCTGATTAGGGGAACAAACTGACCTTCACTTGAAACATTTTATGTTGCTAAAGGGATTTGAAATCTTTGCTGGTCAACCAGAGTAACAATAATCTTCAAGTCCGTTGTCGTGGTGGCACGTGCCTATGACACCAGCACTTGGGACACTGAAGCAGGAAGATTTTAAATTGAAAGTCAGCTGGAGGTGCTCAGGGAGGTCACGTCCAGCATGTGTTACATAGCAAGATCCTGACTCAAGAGCAAAAACAAAAGACTCAGGTTCAGTCCAATTCTCCCATAAATTAACCCCACACATTAAAGACCTTCCAGAAGAAAATATATGCTTATTTTAAAACTCATATCTCTAAAAAGTCAGCGTCTCCCGAGAATCTGCCATGCCAGGACATGTGGGATCAACCAAAAAAATCAACGATCCTGCCTTCTTGGTAAGCAGTGCAAGCCTACCAGCGAGTAGGCTAAGAATCAGTCTCCCCAGTCCCTGTTAGCAACCAGACGGTTTCAAAGACAGCCTGAACTGAGAGCTACTAAGGTCTATAAAGCCACTAAATGCTTGTATTGTTTGATTGATTACGTAGGCCTGGAGCCCAGGGGTCTGAGCATCTCTCCAAAGGATGACAGTATGCAATATAGCAAATATGGGGGATTTCCTTCTATCTTCTCTTTGAAGTCCAATAATGTTTTCACTGTTTGGCTTTGTTCTGATTAACTGCTTTGCTCTACTCAATATTCTGTTTTGATTGGTTTTACAATGTTCTGGTTTTGCTTTGATTTTGCTATACCTGATGGAATGGACAACTATTGTGAAGATAACAAGATACACTATGGTAGCTATGATTGTTTTCTCAGTATCCTGCTCTGAATACAACATAGAATTTTCATGACAAATAAAATCAGGTTTATGTTTGTCTGATTTTTCAGGAGACATGAACATAGTGTTTATAGTCTATGCCAGTAGACTGTTGGATATTCAGGGCCATGGACTGTTGAGGGATAATTCCACAAAGGTAACAGTGCTGAATTTACAGAGAGCTTGGTTTATATAGAACTTGGACATGGGAGGTACAAAGCAAGTGACAAAACACTGCATAATGGTTGCGTGCATTGAGTCATATATTGACAGGCAGTCTAGTCTTAAACAGATTTTCTCAAACAAAG